ATTACATTTAATTTGTTATTATTGAATGTAGGCTACAACAACACAATCTTCCACTATTTTAAAATATCCTCTTACTAGCCCTACTATTTACACTTATTGCAAATAAAATTCTGTTTTTAAATAGTGTAAATAGCAGATTGCTAAGAAATGCTGTTACTTGCAATTTGTGTAAGTATAATCTATTGCTATTTGCACTTAGCTGTGAATAGGCATATTTGCATAGTGCAAATAGCCGCTGCCTTATTTCAAATCCCCGTCTGGATTCGACCTGTGCCTCACCTACATTTGCCTCCTGTCAGTCATTAATGTTCATTCATTTCCACCTGCATGCTCACAGCACAGCTCTCTAGCTCATAAACAAACCTGGCAAAAAAAAGAACACCTTTTTCTAGAATAATGAATTAATAATGAAGCTACAGTATGCACATAATGCCAGGGAAACGTGGACGTGGGTAAAATGTGTGCACAACAGAATCTTAATGTAAAAATGCTTAAAGGAAAATAACCTAACCTGGTCCTGGGGTTTTCTACTTCCAAATAGTTTAGTTTTCTAATTCCTGCCAATATTTTGGCCCCAATAAATAAATAAATAAAATGTGTATATTGTTATCATTAACTAAACCTAAAACTATTAAAAAATAATTTCTATTAATTGAAATAAAGCTCAAATTAAAAAAATAAAATATAAATGTGACAACAACTTGGAAATTATAAATGTTATTTTGGCAACTGACTGGAGTAAGTTGAAGTACTACAATTTAAAAAAAAACTGAAATAAAAATAAATGTGTATTTACACATAAAAAAAATCTTTTAAAATTTGATTCATGATAAATAATTTCAACACATTTAAATTTGATTCATTTAATGCCTTGCACATTGCCAAAATGCCGTATAGTGTCTTATTTGTTTTTTAGGTGACCGCAATGAACATCAGACTAATAATCCACAGTCTATGAGACACTACATTGCATGACTAAATTGGTGACTGAGCTAGACTAGGTAGACTTTTTTTTTTTTAAGAAACATCTGAGGTTCCTGTATACTTTGGGTCTCTCTCTTCTCCTCTCTCTCTCTCTCTCTCTCTCTCTCTCTCTCTTGTAGAAACAGGACAGGAGCAGGCCTGGATCTGGAGCCACCTGTCCGGATGGAGGAGGAGAAGGAGGTCATGGACGAGAGGGAGGTGGAGGAGAGAGTGGTAGAGATAGAACGTCCTCTGCCATGCCTCAATGATTCTGACACACAAGGCATTATCAAGGCAGAGATCTATTCGGATATGTCGGCATTGAGGCAGTCTTGGACCAGATGAGACGCAAAACCATGAAGGCTGGCTTTGAATTTAATATCATGGTGGTGGGTAAGTGGAACATTGGTCTGATTTAGTTGGAGAAAATAAATCAGGATATGTCCAGTTTGTATTTTTGACCAGAATAATATCAGGCCCTGATAAAAAAAAAAAAAAAAACAACGTCAAAGCTGATTTCTTAACCACACATTGAAACTTTCCATTTCCAATGGCATGCATAACTGCTGGGCCTAAATAACTTCACACCTCAGTTTGTCTTTGCTCAAAGTGTGAACTGTTGAAATGGGGGTGTTTTAGCCAAGACTGAAAATAGAACAGACTTAACAGAAAATAGAACAGGCTCTGTATAAAATCGTAGAGTATGGTTTGGAGGGGACTGAATGGAGCAAGACCGTTCAAACTATATTCAGTCTATAACAGGGAAGTGGGTCATTGGCTATTAGGGTAAAGGTTTTAAACTCAGCGATAGTCAAATCTGCGTACTTATGCACTATTCATTTTCACACATTTATCGCATGAATAGTGTGAGTGATGATAATCATAACGCGTTTTATTTTTTTCATTAAGTATTTTTATTAAGTCAAGGATCGAAGATTGTGCAAAGTTTTAAAAGTGAAAAGCTGAATCTTGTATTCTACGTGATATTAACAGGAATCCTCCGTATAACTGATAAAGAACAGGAGAGATGTGCTCTCCAGGTTTCTAGTAATAATGCGGGCGTCTGAGTCCTGGAGCAACTGAAGTTTATGGAGAACTTTGAGAGGTAGCCCAAATAGGAGAGAGTTACTGAAATCAATGTTTGAAGTAACTAGAGCATTACAGAATGGCTGTGGTATTGGGTGTAAGGACGAAGACAAGAAGAATGGAATATGTGGACAGTGTGACATTTATTAACATGTGTTTCAAAAGACAAGCTATTATCTAGGATGGATTAAAGTAGTGTTTTTCACATTGTAAATTCAAGAAGCAAAAGTGAACTTTAAATATATCTGGATGGTGCACTTATTATATCAGATATTATTTCATGATATTTGAGAAACCTTCGAATGGTTGAGTGCATAGAGCATATATAAGATATTGACATTTGGCACACAATTTATTATGCAGTTGTTAAATATGTTTATTTAAAAAAGGTGGCTTCTTTATTACAAAAAATATTATACATGTTTTAAATAGGTTGTGCCAAATTAAATGGCAATATCTTTCAGTTTTCACAATATTCAATATACATTTCAATTTTTATGTATTTGCTCTGCAATGAAAGTCTTTGAATGATGGAGTATTTATTATTTTTCTAAATATACTGTATTATGAAACATTATTCATCTTTTTTTTTTTCATATCAAAGATATGAATCAAACTTACCATAAATGTTACTACAAATCTTCAAATCAGAGAAGCTTAAACCATCTATATCTTCTTTATTGTGAATATTTAATATAGTCAACCCTAATTACAAACAAAGAACCAAAATAAAAATCTTTGAATGAAATTCACGAGAATAGAGCTTGCCGGTATTAACTGTCTTGGGCAGTTAAGACATCTGCCTGATTCAAACTAGAAGTGACCTAACCAATCAGAGTGCTAGAGCCTCCCAAATCCCCCTGTGTTTCTAGAGAGAGGTGGGTAAGCATGCAGGAAGGAGGAGGGGCGGTGGGTGTGTTGGCTGAGTGTGGGCCTTACCTAATTAAATGGCAAGGGCTATTGTTGTGTTGTCTGTGGTCTGGGAGGCAGGGCCAGGCTGGAACCAAATGTGGCTCAGAGTGTTCCCCAACTGGGCCAGCCAAGGGGATTTATGATGGCCCCTGCATCACAAATTCAAGGCCGTCCAGCTCTCCAGTGAGAACCATTCTTCTTTTCCACTTTTTTCTCTCCCTATTTTTTTTTTTTTTAACCAAGCTGCCAGGATTTCCACACTCCCTTGATTTTGCTCTCATTCCCCTCGGTGGTTCTTTCATAGTGTTAATAGAAAGGACATTTTGCCAAATCCTTCAAAGGCTGCAAGTCTCATGGAGAAACACAGTATCAGCCGCTGTTCCACAACGGTGTCAGCTGAACAAATTAAAGCTGAAATGTGTCGTTTTTGCACCACTGGCATCGCCACTAGCATTACAAACTGTTTTTCCAAAACCTTCCTGCAGGCCTGTTTCCATCTGTTATTTTTTTGGACACTCCGGTAGCCCCATCCCAGGAGAATTGGTCTTCTTTGTTTCTGTAAGTAATGAAAATTCATACAACAGTCTCATTTCCACCATTTACTTTTGATAAAACTACAGATCATAATTACACAATTTTGTATCCCTGCTTACAGACAGTTGGATTGAGCCCAATGCATTATGGGTGTTGAAGTTCCCCTACCTTTTTTTTTTCAAAAGGGAACATCACAACCCTTTTACCTAGGCAGTCAGCACAGATTTTTTTGGATAAGGGATACTCCACCGGTTTTTCATATTAAACTGTTATTCCCTTAACTAAGACGAGTTCATACATTCCTCTCTCATCACAGTGCGTGCACTTAATCGCTCTGGCGCACGAGACACTTTGATAGCACTGTTGTGAATTTGATCCTTTAATTATACTTTTTATTTTTTTTTTCTTTCTCCTTACATATTTGCACTTCATATCCCACAATCCTTTTGTCAGTTTCACTACATTACCCATACACCCCCTGGGCAAGGTCTATAAGTAGACCTCACTTCCTCCCTTTTTTCCTTTTGTATTGGTGAGGTGTGGTGGTTGGAATGGACACGCAACCATGTCCTTTCCTTAGGATGCGTTGAGTAAGTTTGTTTTGTCAATTGTTTAAAATATATGTTGTTATGTTACTGATGAATTATATGAGTTTAATTTCCTTTATTGTATTGTTTGTAGTGACTAAAGACCATCTTGTACGTCCTGTTTATCCTGTCCCTCCATTAACATCTGTTCATTGGCATCATGTGTGTCAGCTCCATGTGAATTAAGACTTTATCATCCTGAACTGAAAATAAAAGAGAGCAAAGGACTGGTATTTTTTCCATGTGTTTTAATCAGACACACCATCAAGTTTCTACAACTCCAACGAACTTTGGATACATTTAACATCTGAGATCCAATATATGGTCCTTCGAGCCGGAGGTAGAAATTTGGTGGAATGGATTACCATGCAAGACCTGCAATCCGGCGCAGCCTAAGAAGCAGAAGACCTCCTGCCCGTTTTGTTGACTGTATGGTGAGAGAATATGGTCCTCCTCCGCCTCCCTCACCAACGCTAGTTGTAAGTGATCATCACCAAACTCAGTATGAAAATCCACCTTTAAGACATTCCCCAAGCTCATCGGCTCCTTGTGAACAGCCTCAACATGATTTGCTCGATATGGATGTTAAACAAGAGATACTTGGACTTAAGGGTATGCTTGGTGAGATGATGTCTAAAATGTCACAGTTAGTAGTTTCTTCCAGACATTCTGAATTTTCTGAGTCTTTTGATGATGCTTCTGATGATGATGATAATGCCTTAGTTAATCCATCTATTGTTCAAGAATTGTGTGCATGTATTAAGACAGCTGAAAAGAAACCTACATGTGAGAAATGTAATTCCTCAACTGTTCCTTCACTGCTTCCATTTAGTAGGCCTAGTTCTCTGCCTCTTCCTCCTTCCTCATTGTTACGTAGTCCACCCCAACAGATGCACACACATGATATAGCATCACAACTACAATTTAGTATGTTACAACCTTCTATTGTTCCATTGGTTCCTGGGCCTTCTAATTGTCAGTCCCCTCAAGTGCAAACATCACCAGTGTTGGTACAACCAACTGGTCCACCACAACCAGTTTTACCATGTAGTTCATTTTCCTCTGCCATGGTTCATTCTCAGTTATCCTCACAAGTAACATCAGCACAGTTACCTCCACAGCCTCGGTATGCTGTTTCTCAGTATTCACAGCCATTAGGACCATCCTCTAGCTCGGCAATTCCTCATATAGCCTCAGCTAATGTAGGCCCTCACATGCAATCTGTAGGTCAGGTAGGGAATGATGTTGTACAACCTCCTGCCCCACATATTCAACCAATTGTTCCCACTACCCAGTCAACTGCAATTCCATTCCTTCATCCTTATCCATATTCCCAACCATATTATGCATCATATCCTGTTCCTTCCTATCCTACTTCTCGTGTTCAGGGACCTACCTTTCCTTTCCTGGTTAATGATGATCCCCAAGAATTTGCAATGTTGCAGCTAGCATTGACAAATTTGTTGTCACCCCATGAGCCAGAACATTACAAATTCCATATCTTGTTAGATCATTTAAAATTTTCTCCAGCTCGTGATCTAGCGTTAGCTTATGCTAACGATCCTAGGCCTTACAGTATGGCTCTTTTTGCCCTACAGCAGAAATATGGGCAACCTCACCAACTAGTTTTGACAGAAATCAAAGCCATTCTAGCTCTCCCCAGGGTGAGACCAGGTGACAGCAGAGCATTTAGTAGCTTCGCATTAAAGGTTCGAGCTTTGGTTGGCATGCTCCAATCTTCGGGCCAAGACCAAGTTAAATCTGAATTATCCTGTGCTTCTCATGTACAGCAACTACTCAGTAAACTGCCCACAGAGCATGTGACCAACTTTGCCCGTTATGCCCGTACAATCCTAAAGGGTCAAAGCTACAACCTGATTAGCTTTTCCGCTTGGCTCCAAGAAGAAGCTGAGTGTCAAGCAATGGCTGATCAGGTTAGTGACTTTCCAAAACCATTCCTGAGTAAACCTCAACCAAAGACTTCCATTAACACTCGAACAGTCTTGTACGGAGTTAACAGTAATTCTGTTGTGCCAAGATCCATTAATAAGCAACCCCAGAATGTGAGAGATGGAGAATGGAGTTCCAAATATTCATGCGCCTATTGTTCCAGTAGAGATCATTTCATTGGCCTGTGCCCCTCTTTTAAATCTCTAGAAGATACCAGGAAGGATGCATGGATTAGAGAGAACAAAAGATGTTGGAGATGCGGGCTTAACCATCTAGCTGTCAACTGTGACTTGAAGAAACCCTGTCCACAGTGCAAAGGCAGACATCTTGGTATCCTTCATGGAGTTAATTGTCGTGACCAAGATAACGGTACATTCTATCTTAGTCGCCTTGGAGGTTCTGGTAGGGTCTTGCTTAAAGTTGTTGAAGTACTTCTCCATTATAAAGGAAGATCCTTGCAAACCTATGCCATCTTAGATGATGGATCAGAACGTACCATGTTGCTACCTCAAGCATCTGAGTCTTTGGGCCTCAATGGGGTACCTGAGTCCCTAATTGTTAGAACTGTACGTCAAGATACCCTTGCACTTGAAGGTTCTTCTGTAACCTTTGAAATATCTTCCATGACCAATCCAGAAAAGAAGTATTCCATTTCCAATGCCTTTTCTGCTGCTAGATTGGGACTGGCAGAACAGACGTATCCTGTTGAGATCTTGCAGAGACGTTTCAGACATCTTCGAGACTTACCCCTTCCAGCCTTCTCTAATGTCCAACCACTTGTTCTTATCGGTGCAGACTATCCACACCTGATAAATCCCATTGATCAGGTGTATTTCGGGCCTCCTAAATCTCCAGCTGCAATACAGACCAGGTTAGGATGGGTACTTCAAGGCCCAATACCGATTCCTAACACTGATGAGACTCAGTGTCTTTTTACCATCGCTAATCCCCTAGAAGAACTTCGCCATGATGTGGAGAAATTATGGAAAGTAGACATCCTTCCTTTCAGGAATGAGAAAGTCATTACTAGGTCTAAGCAAGATCAGGCAGCTATGGAATTGTTGGCCTCTAAGTCTAAAAAAGTTGATGTGGATGGTGTGAAAAGATATGCCACTCCGTTATTGCGCGCTTCTTCCGCCATAAAGCTGCGGACCACACCAAATGCAGTTATGTCTTCTCTCAGATGTATCGAACGACGCCTCCAGAGAAATCCTAAAACTGCTGCTGTGTACAACCAAGAGATTGCTAAGTTGGAGGAATCCGGTTATGTTTCCAAAGTGGAACTTCCCCATGACTCATCTGATGAATCGTGGTATATTCCTCATCATATTGTGGAGCATAACGGAAAAAAGAGAATAGTCTTCAATTGTTCCTATCAATATAAAGGTGTGTCACTTAACAGTCAACTTCTTCCTGGTCCACAGTTGGGCCCTTCCTTACTTGGTGTCCTACTCCGGTTTCGTCAGTGCCCAGTGGCCATTAGTGGGGATATAAAATCCATGTTCCATCAAGTTAGGCTATTACCAGAAGACCGTTCTCTCCTACGCTTCCTGTGGCGCAATATGCAGAGCACAAATCCACCTGACATCTACGAATGGCAAGTTTTGCCCTTTGGCACGGTATGTAGTCCATGTTGCGCAACATATGCTCTACAAAGGCATGTCCATGATCACCAAGAAGGGTATGAAGATATAGCGAGCTCTGTACTTCAGTCATTCTATGTTGACAACTGCTTAGAGAGTTTCCCAAATGTGCAATCTGCTAAGAACTTCTTAGACCGAATGCGTTCTTTACTGATGAGTGGAGGATTTGAAATTAGACAGTGGGCAAGTAACCAGCCTGGTGTTGTCCGACATCTCCCTCCTGAAGCCAGGTCTGAGAATGCTGAACTGTGGATCAATCAAGACAGTTTAGATCCCAAAGAAGGAGCTCTGGGTCTGAGTTGGCACTGTCCCTCTGATTCATTAGGGTATCGATCCCGAACAGTGGAGTATGAGACAACAACTCTGCGTAATATATATAAAGTTCTTGCCAGTCAGTATGACCCATTGGGTTACATAACCCCCTTTACAACGCGAGCTAAAGTCATCATACAACAATGCTGGATGAAGTCCCGGGGCTGGGATGATCCCCTTATGCCAAATCCTATTCAACAGGCCTGGAAGGCTTGGGAAACTGAGCTCCCTGACCTGTCATTAATACAGCTTCCACGTTGTTATCTAAGTTTACCTTCCGACCAAATCACATCCAGAGAGTTGCATGTATTTTGCGACGCCTCAGAGAGCGCATACGGGTCTGTAGCCTATTTGCGAATGGGAACTGACAAGGGTGTGGTACATACTTCCTTCATCATGGCAAGATCTCGAGTTGCCCCAAAAAAGCAAATATCCATCCCTCGCCTTGAACTTTGCGCTGCTCTAACAGGTGCACAGCTTTGTAAACTCCTGCAGAATGAATTGACTCATCCTTTGACAAATATTGTCTTATGGTCCGACTCGACAACTGTCTTGTCTTGGCTGCATTCCCTCTCCTGCCGTTACAAAGTTTTTGTAGCTAATAGAGTCACTGAAATATTAGAGCTCACTGATCCCTCTTCTTGGAGATATATTCCATCTGCACAGAATCCAGCAGATGACATTACGAGAGGCAAAACTCTTGTAGAGCTAGCCAAACCTGATCATAGATGGCGACAAGGTCCAACGTTTCTGAAATTTCCTCCAGATGAATGGCCCAAAAATCTAGTATCTACATCTGATAGTCCTGATCCTGAGCTTCGTAAACCACTCTTTTGTGGGTTAACACAATTGGATGATATTGTACTCCCAGATCCTGCCCGTTTTAAATCATGGTCAGAGTTACAGTTTGCAACAAATGTGTTACTGCGACAACATAGTGAGGACTCTTGTGACGCCTCTTCTGTCCAAAATCTCCTTTTGAGACAAGCCCAGCAACAAAGTTTTCCCTCCGAGTATCAGTGTTTAACGAAAGGAAAGCCCATTGAACCTCAAAGTTGTCTCCTAACATTTTCTCCCGAATTCAATGAAGAAACGGGACTTATTGTAGTGGGCGGTAAGCTCAGGCGTGTAGAGGATATGGAACCTGGAATGGTTCATCCAATCGTCCTCGACCCCAAACATCCATTGACCCAGTTAATTATTAAGGACTGTGACGAGAAACTTTTCCATCCTGGTCCAGAGAGAGTTTTCTCAGAACTTCGACGTAATTACTGGATAATTAGAGGGAGACAAGCCGTAAAAAAACATCAGTGGTCTTGTTTTCAATGTAGGAAGTGGAGAGCCAAGCCATCTATTCCTCAAATGTCAGATCTTCCACTCTCCAAGCTCCGGTTGTTCAAACCTCCCTTTTGGTCCACCGGAATGGACTGTTTTGGTCCCTTCCATGTAAATATTGGCCGTAGAACAGAGAAGAGATGGGGCATTCTGTTTAAGTGTCAGACCACTCGATGCCTGCACCTTGATTTGTTGAGCAGTTTAGATGTGGACAGCTTTCTAATGGGCCTACGTCGTTTCATATCCAGGAGAGGTAGGCCGTATGAGATTCTTTGTGATCAGGGAAGCAATTTCCGTGGAGCTGCAAGAGAGTTAAAGGAAGCCTTCCAGAACCTTCCCACTGAGCTACAAGACAAATTGGAAAAGCAGCAGATCAAATTTAAGTTTAATCCACCACAAGCTCCTCATTTTGGGGGATCATGGGAAAGAGAGGTCCGTTCTGTTAAAACAGCATTGCGGGTGGTACTCGGCAGTCAAACCGTATCAGAGGAAGTCCTACGGACCGTTTTGACAGAAGTTGAAGGAGTGTTAAATTCAAAGCCACTTGGTTACGCCTCTTCAAACATTTCAGACCTCGACCCCATTACTCCAAATCTCCTCCTCATGGGGCGGCGAGATTCGTCTTTACCTCAGGTGATTTATGCCAATACTAAGCTCCTTGGCCGCAGATCTTGGCGCCACAGCCAGGCCCTCGTTGACCAGTTTTGGACATCTTTTATCCGACATTACTTACCAGGTCAGCAGCTCCGTCAAAAATGGAATCGAGAAAAACCTAATCTAAATGACTCTGCTGTCGTGTTAGTAATTGATTTTCAACTCCCAAGAGCATCATGGCCCATTGGCAGGGTAGTACGCCTCTTACCTAGTCAGGATGGACGTGTCAGAGTAGCTGAGATTGATATTAATGGAAAGACGTATGTACGTCCAGTTGCTAAATTGATTCCATTACCTGAAATAGATGAGTAATAGCAAATACATGACTGTATTTGGGGGCGGCTGTTGTGAATTTGATCCTTTAATTATACTTTTTATTTTTTTTTTCTTTCTCCTTACATATTTGCACTTCATATCCCACAATCCTTTTGTCAGTTTCACTACATTACCCATACACCCCCTGGGCAAGGTCTATAAGTAGACCTCACTTCCTCCCTTTTTTCCTTTTGTATTGGTGAGGTGTGGTGGTTGGAATGGACACGCAACCATGTCCTTTCCTTAGGATGCGTTGAGTAAGTTTGTTTTGTCAATTGTTTAAAATATATGTTGTTATGTTACTGATGAATTATATGAGTTTAATTTCCTTTATTGTATTGTTTGTAGTGACTAAAGACCATCTTGTACGTCCTGTTTATCCTGTCCCTCCATTAACATCTGTTCATTGGCATCATGTGTGTCAGCTCCATGTGAATTAAGACTTTATCATCCTGAACTGAAAATAAAAGAGAGCAAAGGACTGGTATTTTTTCCATGTGTTTTAATCAGACACACCATCAAGTTTCTACAACTCCAACGAACTTTGGATACATTTAACATCTGATATCCAATAAGCACTTAACCCCAGTCCAGTTCCTTCATTAGGATCCAAATACAGTTACACGAGTATAGTGTAACTCGACTAAGAATGGTGACACAAAATAAAACGTTGCACCTTTCTAAGCTTGTAAAGTGGATAACTATAATGTATGGTAGAATACCACAGAAAGTGCTTGGGATGTTTTGTATCCTAAATACATCCTATCAAAAAATATTTTCTCACTTTTGAATAATTTTGCGAAAATGACAGCTCTATTTGAAAATATGTACAATAAGAACACATTCACACAAATATTGCATTGGCTTATGTTTACTTCACATTTTCTTTAATTATCAGATTAACCAACGCATTCTCGTTTTATGTGACGCTAAAGGATGAGGACGGGCTGGATTAACGTAATAATATTTGAATGATTGGTTTTCATATTTTAAGACTGAATGTGAGTCTGGAACAAATAAAACAATAAATCTATACAAAACATCAGTTTTAATATGTTTAACAAAAAGAAAAGGATGAAAAAGGTACAAATTTGAAGACAACACCCATTGAAACCAATAAATACATTTCAGCTTTATGGTGTATATTCTCGCAAAATGTGTGGGAATGATATAAGGAGGAGATATGACAATAACATTTTGGCCACTTGGATGCTTTTCAGCTTGAAACCTGTTCAGTAGGGAGCAAGTCAAAGGCATGTTAAAGCATATCATATTTGCGTTGAATTCTACAGAGCAAAAACAGCTCTGGTCCAGTCCTCACTTCCCCAAATGCTGGTTTATGGCCTGTATGAGTTTCCTCCTTGCCTCAGTGAACTGTGGTAGTTAGTTACAGGATTGGTATTGTAGTGCTCTCCATGCCTGATACGCGCTACTCTGGACGTACATCAAAGGTGAACCTCTCCCTTCCCTGCCAGAGACAGGTGTGGAAACAGTGGCAGTAAAAGAGGGAAGAAGAAAGAGCTGTTTGACTCACTCTTGTACAACTATTGACAAATCATTGACCTCTTATTTAGTGCAAAAGACTTATTTTGAACTGGGAATGTTTGTATCGAATCAGTTTAATGGTTCATGTAGATTTCGGTTTGTGTATTTTGCAGTTGCCTTGGCAATACATTGTAAATTACAAGGGCAGGGGTCCTGACAAGGGTGTGTTTGGGAACACTAGCATGTATTAGCTAACATGACATGACAGCGAATGCAAACTTGACAAAATACAGGAAGAGGAGGAATTGTGCGAAAGCAAGATATACACAACAGGATGAAATTGCAGGGATGGAGGAAACTCTACAGGATGAGTTTGGTCCGCTACGCTCATCTGTCCACATTTTCCTGCCCTGGGGTGCTCTTATCCGAGAGTCGCACACACATATGGTAGCACTTGGAGTCGGTTGGTCTGTGTAGTTTGTCCTCGGTTGTATAGGTCAGGATCTTTTAGTAGCCTCTGGGCTTAAACTACTGCGAGTCTCCCAGTTTCCCATAAGTCAAGTAGCAGTCTGCTCCCAAATACGAGTTTAGCATATTCTGACATTTTCGATGCAGTCAATACATTCAGCTTTGTTGTCACCCGCATGTCGATGGGGCTTTGTAGATATTTCAAAGGAAAAGCTTTGTAAACTGCTATTCAAAGTGTCTCATGGGAGATGTGTTTTTTACCATTTGAAATGCTTTTGAGCAATCAATTGGAGTTCAACACATGTGACACTGGTACAATTACTACTAGCGTTTGTTGAAGTTGCATGTGGTTGTGGTAAATGACAAATTCTTACAACTCAGCATTTCTGGGTAAATGTGTCAATGCATGACTCAGACAAGCACCAGACTGGGTCTAGCCCTTTATTCTTTTCACATCTCAGCACAGGGTCATTTTTTAAGATCATCAGAACAGTAACATCAGTATCAATTCCTTTTTCTTTTCTTTTTTTGTGAATACCAGAACCAAATGATGTTTACAATACAATATAAAACATAAAGCATGACCAGTGCAGTTTGATTTGCCCGAATGAACGCGTTTAACCATGGTGCAGTCTGAATAATGAATGAATGATTCATATGACTCATATGAATTGATTCTGTCTGGTGTCAATCAGGATAGTTACTCACTGGTTGTTCATATGACAATGTATACTCTGTAAAAATATTGTTAATATGAAGAAAATGTTCCATATTTATTTTTCACAGGTGTTCTACCTGTATTTCCAATTATTGTGTTTGAGGGTTGAAGGAAATATTCGTAAACTTAACAAGAAAAAAAATATTCTGCCAGGACATTATTCATAACATTGTTTTTGTTTTTTTCTTAAAGTGTAATTAAAGATACACATGTATCAATATTTTGCAGTGGATTCATTGCTTTGCATTTATTTATTATTTTATTTTAGCAAGCATGACCATCTAGAAATGGAATGGCATTTCTTTTTTCCAAATATTTCTTAATATTTCATCCAAAATTAATTGTTAATACAATCGTTAAAGAACAAAATTTAAGGTACTTAAAACTTCTGATTCCCATCCCTATTGAGCAGATACAGTATGTGTGCCCACACTGAAAGCTTTAGGAAGACCTTCTTTGCTCAGCCACTGTCTGAAGTGTTAAATCAAAGAGGCCCAGGAGGACACACAACGTGGGTTGTCAGTTCCTCATAAATTTGATGTCAACTGCCTCCCATGGTAAGAGGCCATGGCGTAAATCCATCAAAGCCTCTGTTGAGGTGGGCAATGATGGAGGGGCCAGATCTTCCCGGCTCTGTCGTCTGTCTCTGTCAAATCGTTTCATCCATTGACAGTTTCCCGAGGCGGCCAGGCCTCTCAACAGGTGCAAACGGAGCGGCGAGAGCGTTTAGCACATTCTCCACCCCTGCCCTGTGAAAGGGAAGCTGACTGGCGGGCCCGAGGGGCCCCCTGAGCGAGACAGAACACACACACTGCTCATCATCAGCACTCAATACAAAGCAGCTCACATTAACACAGCACATGTCCTTTGAGGCAATGAAGGTGGCCCCATAGATTTACCCTTATTTGAGTGAATTGAGATGGCCTTGATAAGGCTCACTCTCCGGTAATAGCTTCCTCCCTCTGATCTGATCTCCGTGAGGACTAGTATGAAAGAGTCATTAAGTGAAAAAGCTTCCCAAAGCTCCCAACGGTGTGCTGTTGTCAGTGTGTTTGGACACCCACCAGATAAGACGCTAAAGCACTTTGCCGTGGCTTGACCTGGTCTTATTACATCACTGATGATTTGCAGTATCAAGGGCTTATGTAAACCTTGGAGGCCTGCGCTGCCTGGTCATGTGATATTTTATGACCTCAATTTTATGTGTGTCATCTTATCTGTGTGCAATAATAAAGTTTTATCCCCCCTGCTAATGCTAAGCAAAGGTCGTCCTGCAAATAAACGTGCTCGGGGTCTGCTACATATGCAGTTAATTGTACTTTACTGCAGTTTATAAACAAAAGTCATTACATCTGTCCTTTTTTTCATTGACAGGTCAGAGCGGTCTGGGGAAGTCGACGCTCGTAAACACACTCTTTAAGTCCAAGGTCAGCAGGAAGTCCTCCACTCCAAATTATGAGGAGAAGATCTCCAAAACTGTCCAACTGCAATCAGTCAGCCACAGTAAGTATTGAATACGCACAACACGCTTCTTTCTTTACAGATACCCCGTCACACACCTGTCACACCCACGGGGTCAAGGATTAGCTGGTTCACATAGCCCTGTCAGCCCCTCCTGCTAATATCGTAACTACACCATTTGGACCCAATAAACATCTTTGAACATTGATTGTCTTTCAAAATTGTGCTTTTGTCCTAAACAGCCACAACAGGACATTTTGTGTTTTCATTTTATGGTGTATTCAAGTCCTCCTAGGAAATGTTGGAAGTTGGCAAGTCGTAACTACAACATCAGTTAAACTAATAGGAGCATAGAAGCTCTTCCGTACACAGCTTTCAAATTTGGCAAAATTATGGTATTGGTGCTGTTTGGTGGAATTATTCAATGGAGGAAAGGTTCGTGGAGCTATGGCAACAATACTTCTGCCTTTATGATGTTCCCTCGAGTGACTACAATGACAGAGTGAGAAAAAATGCTGGCAAATGATAATAGGCGTACAGAGTACTGGAACTAGCATTAAGCTAAATAACATTCCGCTTCGATAGGTTGTTTACACTCTTATTTACGGAAGTCGGTCCCTAGTTCCACCATGTTGATGACATCACATACGTTGTTAAAGACAGCCTGCGATTATTGGTCGGCAAGCAAACATGTAGTCTGACATGTTTCTTGGCCACTACACAACAACAATTTAGGAGACAAAATTGCATAATCTGACATAGTGACTATCATAACAAACAAAAAAATTGAGTAGTCTGAACCCGGCATGACAGAGTGTATTGGCCGGTGTGATTTCTGAAAGGATGGATGAATACTAGTGACATTTAGACAGGATGTGCTGGAGCTCTGTGTGTTGTAGGGTTTGACTTGGAGAAGAGCCAGAGTGATTGGAGCATGTGCTGTGAAAGGAAAGAGATCACACTTCAACTGTTTAGATCGGGCCACTGTTGTCGTCATGAGCCATCTTTCACAGAGAATGATAGAGGAAGAGCACACACAGGGTCATATTTTATCGCATGGGTCAGAAGATGACTCCTGCTCTAATTGAAGCCACCCCTTATAGACAGCATCTGACTTCCGTGAAGAAAGCTCAGCTGAGTTAATGAATTGGTTGATTGAGCAAATGTACCATCTCTGTCTTGCATAATACCTCCAGACTTACAATCAAAAGAGGCTTGGGTTCTTGTCTCCAAACAGGCAGGTGTGTTTTTGTGTAGATGTGTAGATTTTTGGCAATGAAGCAAAGCTTATTTGGATTTTTCCTTCGGTTTTGAGGTAAACTGGTTGATTTCTTCCTGAAAGCAAAACGTCTCAAATATCTGGTATCAATAAGCTGATAAATGTTACCACATTGCCAATAACCGATAAATGGTAAAATTCAATACTTTTTGGTAAAAAAAAAAACAAAAACAAAAAAAAACATACATTTTAAATTAATTGCTTTACATTTTAAATTTAAATATTGACTTTAGGCATCACAAAATTAGAAAGTACAGTATGAAAATGATTTTTTATTTTAAGATTTTAAGATATTTTTACATTTAACACTGTTAAGTCGGCATGAAATGGAAATTCACCCAAACTCAAATATGCAATATAAGCGATAAGATAATTTAAAAAACTCATGTTAGTATCTATACAAAGGTCCTGCTACTCCTTTTTGTGCTGAGCAGAGGGAGCTGAGCTGTAGATCACGCAGAAAGGCACATACCTTCAAACATCCCGCATATGCAATGAGAAAGCAATGAATCTCCATTTATCTTCTGGCGGCGCCACCATGCATCGTTGGAAAGAGGTGTGAAAGGCAGATGGCGTAGCTAGTCCTTTAAATGAAAGTATTGTTTGAGTGTGTGTGTTGTGGGGGTTAGTGTGGTCGCACCCAGCTATCCATCTTCATTTATCACTGTAGACCGGCTGACAGGCGTCTAACAAACACAAAATTTGATAGTGGTCCTCTGTGTCTTGTATTCAGAAACTGCCCAGTGGTACAAGTAAAGTAAAAGTAAATGGACTCTCTTTAGATGGATTGCAAAGACCTGTTGCACTGCAAGAATGAGACTAACTATTAAAATGTATATCCTATTGCCCAATCTAATTACCCCTGCCATTTTTCATCTGGGTCAACAGTTTGAGGAGTTACCCATGTTATGTAGTTTAACTGCAAATCTGCCCTCTAATTGAATGACCCGCAATTTAACATATCAGCTATAGAGAGAACATAATCTAATGTTTCTGTCTCAGGATGTCGCGAGACGCCAGAGAAGCAAGCCTCCTCTTGTAGTTTTAAGTGTCAGTCAATTGCTATGTAAAGGCCTTTGCTGGGCTGGGTCATTACCATAGCCTGCTATGTTAATTGCCATGGTTCCTACGTGACAGCAGAGATGTATGAAGACCGCTGAACTTTACCCTCAGTCTGGATATGCGCACAGACAAATCCAATTACAAAACCCCACAGAGAGTTAGTGCCATAGCAATGCAGTTCGTTTTTGCTATACCGCCATGTGCAGGTTCCGTAGCCGCTATGCTAAACCTTTGTCCTTCTTCCTTTAGTTTGCTGTCTACTGGTTTGAAATTAGTCATCTGATTTTGTTTTCAGGCAAAGCTTTAGACCTAGATCTGCTTGTTGATCTCTCTTCCGTTTCTGACTTCCCCTTGACAGATTTTAGATATGTAAATGTTACTCAGTATCACACTCTCGCAGTAGCTTAGCTTCTTCACAGCTTTCACTTCAGTTAGCCGAAGGTCAAAATGTTGAAATCTGTTTTTAGATCTGAAACTGTAATTTCTTGTAATTCTGTGCATCAAAATCTTCGCAGTTGCTGTCTCAGCCTGTAACTCTGCAGTTATATATATTTGTGGAAAGTCTTGTGTGCTTTTCGAAGAATTCTGTGTAAGATCAAGAACAAGTCTTTTTTTTTTTTTTTTAGCCTAGCAGTGTCATTGCAAGTGGAAGAAGGTTTCTATCCAGCTGCAGTAGCAGCATCTGTTGTATCTCTGTCCTACCATAGCCAAACCTCATTTCTCACAGACCTCTCAAAACGTATGGCCCAATAGTTTATAAATGTTTGACTTGTAGAATGAGAGAGTGGGTGGATGAGACTAAAATAATGGGAGACGCTGGGTGTGCTGTTTCTTAACAAAAGAAGATTGACGATAAGTTGGTTCAGCTTGTGACTTCCTGAGATATCTCCATGGGTCAGGAGACACCCCTCACTGTGTTCTCACCGTAGCACAACGTAAACATTACAGTGAATGAGAGTGTCCTGTTCCTCTTTGGGAGTTTTTATGGTAGCCTTCGGAAAGGCGAGGCTGCTTGACACATGATGTAAATATTTACTGTATTTTACTTTTTCGATTGCATTAGCCCTCATGCGGGAATTTATTATTATCTAATATCTATACGATTATGGTTGGGGAACATTCTTAACATCAAACTCTTCCACATTAAACTATATAAACTATGTATTCATTACTTTAATTAATGCATTGTTTAAACTTGTTAACCTATTGTTAGCTTAAAGGATTAGTTCACTTTTAAAAAAAATAATTTATTTACCCACCCCCATGTAATCCAAGATGTCCGTGTCTTTCTTTCTTCAGTTGAAAAGAAATTAAGGTTTTTTAATGAAAAGATTCCAGGATTTTTCTCCATATAATGGACTTTACTGGGCACCAAACGGTTCAAGGTCCAAAAGACAGTTTCAGTTCAAACTGCAAACTGTTCAAAGGGCTTTAAACGATTCCAGACGTTGAATAAGGGTCGTATTAAGCGAAACGATCGCTCATTTAAAAAAAAAAAAAAAGTTTAAGTTTTATAACCTCAAATGCTCGCCTTGTCTGTTCTGTGATGCACGTCGGTTCGTGACTCTTCTGTTCGAACGCGTTCATCAAAATGAATGAATCTTTTTCCGAGTCAATTCATTCTTTTCGTTTATTGAATGAACAATGACTCGAAAAAAGATTTGTTCATTTTGATGAACTTTTTTTTTTTTTTTTTTTTTTTTTAAATGAGCGATCGTGTCGCTTGATAAGACCCTTATTCATCGTCAGGAATCGTTTAAAGCCCTTTTAACAGTTTGCAGTTTGCACTGAAACTGTGACTGTCTTTTGGACCTTGAACCGTTTGATGCCCAGTAAAGTGTATTATATGGAGAAAAATCCTTGAATGTTTTCATCAAAAACCTTAATTTCTTTTCAAATGAAGAAAGAATGACATGGAAATCTTAGATGACATGGGGGTGAGTAAATTATCAACCATTTTTTTTTAAAGTGAACTACTCCTTTAATGCATTATTTGTATTTCTGAAATACATAACTTGACACCGTCACCTCTGATAACACATCACTCTAAACTGTAATGTAGACACGTTTTTTTCTGTTAAGCTGCTTTGAAATGATATGTATTATGAAAGGCGCTCTACAAATACATGTGAATTTAATTGAATTGAATATACACAGGCGTTCAAATGTTTGGGGTCGGTAAGATTTTAAAATATCTTTGAAAAAAGTCTTGATCAAAAATGCAATGAAAACAGTAATTTTGTGGTATATTTTAAATTATAGGCCTGTGATGGTAAAGCTGAATTTTCAGCATCATTACTCCAGTCTTCAGTGTCACATGATCCTTCAGAAATCATTCTAATATGATGATTTGCTGCTCAAGAAATATTTCTTCTTATTATAATTTTCTTCTTATCAAAACATTGAGTTGATAACTACATTAACGCTTCCGAGCTGTGAAAGAGCAACTTCAGTGCAATACATCTTTAGACAAGAAAAAAGTGTAGAACCTTCTGTCTAGATTCTGATTAGTTGTGCTTTTTTATCTCCAAGCAACATTTTTCTTCTTTATTACAGTGTAAATATGACCTTATAACTTCTGCAAATACTTTCAAAAGGCTGAAACAACAGAGCTTCTCTGGTATTTACTATCAAAATGACAAAACTACGGCTTGTGTTACTGCTAAACTAATAAATTGCGTTTGCAGTCTCCGATTTGTGACATTTCGTCTAGCAGATGTCTTGCTGTCCCTTGCTTCCCCAGCAGTTTTCTCTTTCCAAAGAGCAGGCCTGTGGAAAACAAAGAGCACCAAAGTCTCCGGGTGCCTGACACCTCCACACACTACAAAGCGGCCCAGTGGCCCTCACAGCCTGTGAAAAAAGTCTGGCCTGCAGACTGACAACCAGGGGAGATGAGTGTTACACAATCCCCCCTTTTACTCAAAGACTACACAGTGCAGAAAATGAAGTGGCGGCCCGCTCAATGCCACCATTCAGCTCTGCTCCCTCCTTGTGGGTGAATATGGGAGGAACTAAGCACTGCTTTGTTGCTGAGTCACGCCAAGATGAGCATATGTGTTTCCATTAGCTGACCATGAGGGGTTTTCAATCATTGGCCCACTGATTCAAAAACTGGCACTCTCTTTTGCTAATGCCCCACTGAGTACGAAAAATTGATCATCATCAGATAGAGTCATAGCGCTTTGAATCTGGAGTGTTGACTGACAGTTTAATTTTTCCTTGTTACAATCTCGTCATATTTTCCTTGATTGCCTCATCCAGAAAGATTAACATGATGAGTTAACAACAAATGCCAATCAACCAATGCCAGGGATACAGTAGGGGTCCCTGCTTGCACAGACAGTGTATTAGACACTTTTTGCAGGCTGACTTCCTGTTGTAAGCATTCCTGTATTATTATATCAGAAATGGAGATCAAATGAAAAGCTCTGGGTCTCCAGTACGCGATTAGTCTCTAAAAAATTTGTGTTACTGGAAAAAAGACTGGGCCTTGTCAACAGGACATTTTATCCTTTCATTCCTTTCTTCTCTAACTCTTTTGTCTTGTTATATTCTAGTCATCGAGGAGAAAGGGGTGAAGATGAAGCTTACGGTAATTGACACTCCTGGATTTGGAGACCAAATCAACAATGAGAACTGGTGAGAACCATTTACATTTCATACTATGTACAAATATAGTATGAACTGTAATATATTTTAAACTTGTAAATAAGCAGAAAGTTTTAGAATTATGAATATTTTTTTAAAATGTAACGTTAAAACACTAAAACCAACAATTCCAGATTCTCTACTATTCCTAGGTCACTAATAAAAAGACATTTTAAAAGTATATTTGTGACTGACGTTTGTGGCCTTTTACAGAAGGTCAGATGTTGAAGCACAAGGTATTCTTTGGATTATTATAAAATCATGTCAGAAAACATGATCATCAGGTTTTACACAAAGCAAATACAAAGACATCCTGAAATTTATGTTAATTCAACTTTTCATTTAAATTGTTATGCTAATAAAATTCTCTTAGTAATTGAGAGAGCATTTGGGGTTTTACTGTTAAAGTAATCATTTATTTGACACTAAAATCATGCCTTAGTGTTTTTCAGAATATTTATTTATTAATGACAGTCATTTTCAGTGACTTTAAGTATAAGTTGTTGTTAATTGTAATGTTAACCCTCCCCTGTGTCTTTTTTCTCAGCTGGGAGCCCATTGTAAAGTATGTCAATGAACAGTACGAAAAATATCTGAAGGAGGAGCTGAATGTCAACAGGAAGAGAAGAATCCCTGACACCCGCGTTCACTGCTGCGTGTACTTCCTGCCAGCCACTGGACACTGGTGCGTGTCGACTTCTTGCACGTATCATGTGGTTCACACCTAGCCAGACATGTTAAAACACTGTTGTGCTTCTGTCACATTAATATGACAAGGCTTCGCTTAAAAATCTCTTAAGAAAGTCTTAGATTTTAACCCACTAATCCAGTGAGATGTCATGAAAAATCCTTCTTTTAGCTGCAAAACACGAGGGTTATATACATCTTCTCACATCTCTGCTCACTTGATTCCTGTGATGGCAAAGCTGTATATTCGGCAACATGACTCCAGTCTTCAGTGTCACATGATCCTTCAGAAGTCCTTCTAATTTGATGATTTGCTGCTCAAGAAACATTTCTTGGTAACACTTTACTTGAAGGGGTGTACATAAGACTAACATGAAACCATAATCATAAAATGACTATGAATATGAAGGAAGTTTTATGCATGTTTGTGACAACTGTCATTAAGTGTCATTTGCTCAGTTATGACATTTTTAATACAAATATGACATTGTTTGAGATGTATTTGTTATGACACCTTGACATAAACCGATACATCATAACCTGTCTTTGTCATAACAACTTGAGATTACTAAGACAACACAACCTGTCATAAACATGACAATTATTAATTACATATTAATTATCAAACTTAAGAAACCACTTAACTTTATGGGTTAACATTACATTAACCTGTAAGGTGGTTGGTTTTGACATTGGCTGTCATGAAGCCATTATAACTTTTTAATGACAAATTCAATTGCCACTGTAGTTGAGGTCACGAAAAATATTCATGACAGTTATAATGGCCTCATACAGCCAATGTCAAAGCCAACCAAAAAATATTCATGACAGTTATAATGGCCCCATGACAGCCAATGTCAAAGCCAACCACATGAAAGTTTAACTTAATTTTATGTCATCTTAAACAATGTCATATTTGCATTCAAAATGTCATTATTGATCGAAAGTCAATTAATGACAGTAATCATAAACATGCATAAACCCTATTTCATATTCATATTCATATATGTCATGTCATGGTTATAAAGGATGCACACCCCTTCAAATAAAGTGTTACCCATTTCTTCATTGTTATCAACATTGAAAATAGTTGTGCTGCTTAATATCTTTTTGTGGAGATCGTGATACATTTTTTTCTCAGGATTCTTTGATAGAGAGTTCAAAAGGGGTCATTTATTAGAAACACATTTTTAGGTGTATGTAATATTATTTTACGTTACTTCATGTAATGATTTTTTAGCATCAAATGATCTAGATTGATTAAGTTCCATTTCATTTTGCAGACACTTTTATCAAAAGTATAGTGTGTACCCCATTTTCACCTGTATTTAAAGTCCAAATCAATGTTGTAACTGGGTGTTAATGAGGTCGAATGTGTCAGCAGTGAAACATGAGTTTTATTAAAGATCTATCCTGCCCTTCTACAGGTTACGCCCTATAGATGTGGAGTTTATGAGGAGACTGGGGAAGATAGTGAGCATCGTTCCTGTGATCGCCAAAGCAGACACGCTAACTCTGGAGGAGAGGCTAGAGTTCAAACAGAGGGTGAGCTGTCCGTCATCTACACCTGCGCACATTTTATCATATGCATGCACAATCGATATCTCCCGCCCACACGTAAATATTCAGTTCTTCGCATAATTGAGGTCATTAATATGGATGACCTGCTGCTGTAAATGCTGGAATTGTTAGAATTCACACAGTTCAGCTGTGTGGATAAAAAGTGAGATTGATTGAAAAACCAGAATGGATTGAGAGAGGACCACGCGTTGCATTCGAATGTCCAAAAGTCCTTTGGCTTTGGCTTGGAAAAATGAATAGGCCAAGCTAAGGTTACGAGCGGTGTCTGCGACGTCTCCGTCGGGAGACGGTCTCTCCTCTGACTGATGTATTGCAGCTACTTCAGCCCGGGCCACTTGCCATCAGTTCTCCCCACGGAACGCTTTTGGACAGCTCCGACGGCACGGACCGCAGGGCCAGAACGGCCCCCGCACGCAGTGTGTCTCCTATCAATATACACCAAACAACACTCCTAATGATGTACTCTGTCATTTCAGCCCATTATCCAGAGCTGTCTCTCACTGCTCAATAGCCTGAGTAGAGCACCATGCGGGGGCGGACGTCACACTGTGCTCAAGATATCAATCGCAGATATCATATCCATGTTCAACAGCCGCACTCCAAAATCCTCCCCCACACCAACACATGGCAGCAAAGGCATTAAACTCTAATGCTTTGCACCTCGGGCCCAAAATTCTGGCTGTGAGGGAAAAAAAAAAAAAAGAATTTGCTCGTGAACTTTACTGTGGCCTTCGAGTACAAGAATGCATGAGGGTCGAGATTGAGGCTAGTAAAATATAGCGGGAAGAGCTCGAGGGAGAGGAGCTGCTGTCATATTTCACCCCCAGGGCAATTGTGTGGTTTTTGTGTATGTGGTTGTTCAGTAGGTGGTGAAAATCAGTGTAATCCATCTCTGCAGATAAGACAGGACCTCCAGGCCAATGGGATCAGAGTCTATCCACAGAACGAGTATGATGAGGACACTGAAGACCGGATACTCAACGATAAGATTAGGGTACGATGACGCTACTCTTGAGACTTCATTGCAACCGATTCAAATAACTTGATTTAAATTGTTTGATTTGTTTGTCTTTTAGGAAAACATCCCTTTTGCTGTGGTGGGAACAGATAAGGAACACCAGGTGAACGGGAACAAAGTTTTGGGAAGAAAAACAAAGTGGGGGATCATTGAAGGTGAGAGTCTAAAGAAATAATCCTGAATTCCTTGAACTAGTTGGTCAGCAGTAATATGTTGTGTTTCGGATGCTGGTGCCAGGCTTCTTAACTAGCTTTTCCCGGAAGATTGTTGGCTGACCTACTTGGTCTTTTCAGCAGGGTAACTGTAACAATTGTCAAATCTACTTGTACAATGATGGCTGACAGGCTTTGCGAGTCTGTGATTTAGGTTATTCAACACTGCCATCAAGTGGTATCTATAGAAAGTGCATTGATGCAAAATGCCTGGATGAATTCATGAACATGCCTTTTGTTTATTTCAGTTGAAAATGTTGCGCATTGTGAGTTTGCACACTTGAGAGATCTTCTTATTAGGTAAGTACATCTTTTAATTGCATGTGTTGAAATATCGTAATTGAATGATATTAGCATATGATGGACAGACTGCTTTTTAGGTAAAGTGGGAGTAGCCATTTATACCCTTGCATTCTGGTTGATGGGATTCGATGATGTAGAATATGCTCTTCCTAAACTTTCAGTTGGAATTTAGTTTTTGAAATATGATCCAAACGGTGATCAATGACATCCCATACTAGTTTAGGATAAATAAAAAAAAATGTAATGTCAACTATAGGTGAACAACTGTAGGTATGCATAGGCTAACTTCCTGAAGAGGGTAAAAACTGGTGCTATGGTCCAACATGTACATTTCTGGCTCAAGTAATATTGTTTTGTTTTTTGTTTTGCAACTAGACATTATCTTGTCTATATAGTTATATCTATATAGTTATAGATAGATAGATATAGTTATATAATTTGGAACCAATCATGCATGGGATCATACACAAATCCATCCTTTATTAAACAAGACTATTTTCTTATCTGTCTTTTTTTTTTTTTTGTCTTCATTTTCATTGCACTCTAGAAACGTGTGTTTTGTATGTGGCTGTGGTTCAGGTATAGTTTACATTATGGGGACAAAATGTCCCCATATAAGGATGATAATATCCGAAATCCTTGTCTTTTTTTGTGAATTTAGTTGGTCCCTATGACAAAAACAGCTTATAAATTATAGGCTTACTAAGTGATGTTCTTTGACAATGGACAAATGCTGAACGTTTACTCTGATGGGTTGGTTGAGGTGTAGGGTTAGTGAAAGGGGATAGAAAATGCAGTTTGTTCAGCATAAAAATCATTCATGTATATGAAAAGTCCCCATAAAACATAAAAATAGTGTATGTGTGTGTGTGTGTGTCCTGTATAATCTTACTTGATTCTTGAATCTTGTATAATCTTACTAGATTCTTCATTTGATCCCTTATATGGTTGGTTGCAAGTTATGACAGAAATACCATTAGCATTTCAACACCAGATTGGTCAACAGATGTCAGGTTCATGCAGCAGCAGTTCAAATTAACTTCTGGTCAAATGACATCACTTTATTTATTTATTTTTTTTTTTTTTGGCTCTTCATCCTTGCAACTCAGCACTGAAAACACGACATCTTCATATAACTAACAGCTTGGAGGTGTGGTAACTTGTAACTTTAGAAAGCATACAACCATTTGAGTTGGTTAAGTTAATATATGAGTAGTAGCTGAGAAGGTCATGAGTACATCCCTCTCCTGTGAGCTCAGTGAAGGACAGGTTAATTACAGTGTCCGATCAGGTGAGGCCAGGTCACAAAGCCCTCTCAGCTCTCACCATAACTCTTGGATGGTGGCCCATTGACAGATGGTGTGAGAGTGATTCCCTGCTGAAACAGGATACAAAGGATGTTCGTTTTAACGCTCCACATTTTTAAATCGCCTTTCACACTGTTGATCGGCCTCACACTGAAGCGGAGATCAAATTAGAGCAGGAAACATCAACTAAATCACACAAAGGGATCATTAAAAGCTAATGTAGTCAGTAAACAATTCAATTCAAGATATGAGAACGACTTTTATTTTATGCCATGCATATTTCCCTTAGGGTATGTTATTGTGGGATCAAAATTGATGTTATTGCGCTCTATTTTCAAGGTCCCACTTGCAAGATTTGAAGGACGTCACTCACAACATCCACTATGAGACGTATAGAGTGAAAAGACTTAACGAGAGCAATGCCAATGGACAGGCACTTTCACCTTTGATCCGGGAGAATGGTACCCTAGAGAAGAGTGATGCAGAGAGTCACCTTTGAAAGAGATGAAGTGTGTGCACCCGCCTTCACCCCCCGTCAGAATGGGAGAGATGAACATTTCACTTCGAGATTGCCACTGTTGGAAAATCGACACGTTTGACTAAAGACATTTCCGCTTAGGCATGTAAACTTCATATGAGTCTATTTTTTTTAAATGAATCTATATTGTGGGTAGGGATCTGGGATGAGAAACAATAACTGATGAATTATGGGTAGAATTGAACCAGGTTTTGGCTAAGAGAACATTTCCCTCTATGTAATTTTTCTCTTTTGATATCTTTCAAACTCTTTTTGCTGAATGAATGGAACAGAGGCATGTTGGAAAACGTGTGTGTGTGTGTGTGTGTGTGTGTGCGCCTGTTTGTGTGTGCTTGTGTGTGTGTCTGCACACCTGACACATCACTTGATGAGAAAATCCCATAATCCCGATCTGTGTTACTGCACCTATACATTAACACTGAACCAGCAATGTGACATGCTCCTTTGGCTCTTTTATTTTCATAAGTAATTATTTTAGGGGTTTTTTTTACATCAAAAATATGATCTTTACCTGTACTTTTGTATAAGAAGAGATTAAAAACTTTAGACAAATATTTTTTTTACCGTAGCTGCTTCCAAGCTGAAGGTATTTTCTTAACCGCTACTTTAAAGAGTCTCTTACTGCTATCCATACATGACTGCTGTGATGATCGCTGATGTGTTGATATAATGGGAAATATTTCAAATATAACATTTGACCTCAAAGGTCCGGTATGCAATGTAATACTATTGATCATTTATAATGCAGAGATGGGTAGAGAAACAAGAGAAAGCTGATTCATACTGATGTTTGTCGTACAGTTACAGGTCAAGTTTATGGTTATATGTTTTTCTTTCTTGAACTAGTTAACTTGCTGTTAAAAGGTACACATTGTGCTGTTTACTTCCCTTCACTGGACAGGAGTCCACCTTGCCCTTTTGCTTATCAAAGCTACTGTACATAACTATAATGTGTTCTTATTTTCTGTCACAGCAACACGTTTTTTTATGCGACATGTATTAGCGGCATCATGTTTTCCTTGTTACTAATATTACTATTCATGTAAACACCATTGTTTTATGATTAAAAAATTGTCACCAGCATTCAATATTTATGTGGAGCCATGGACCATGCTATTGGTTTCACATTTTGGGGTCAGTTGTGCTCAGCAAGGCAAAATACCATTAAAAACTGTAATATGGTGAAATATTATTACAATTTAAAATGACTTTTATTCTGTAATGGTAAAGCTGAATATTCGGCATCATTACTCATTACACTAGTTTTTTAGTGTCACACAATATTTTAGAAATCTTTCTAATACGATGATTTAGTACTTAATAAACTTTTATTTGTTTCCTTTGCTTAAGGAAGTAAAAAAAAAAACAAAGTTAAAGTCCCCCTGTAGTCAATAATTTTATAACTTGAAACTCATCTTTGATCACCAAAATGACATACTGTATTTAAACGTTCTTTAAAATAAAGGTCTAAATATTTTAAAGGTCTTTAAAATAGTTCAAGAAAGATTTATAAATGTCTTCGATGTCACTGAATATTCTTTCAAAGAAAAATCTTATTGACTTTTGAACGATAGTGTGCTCATATTTAGTTTGCCTGCATGTGTTCTACTTACAAAGATTTGAAATGGAGTCTCTCATCATTTTTTAAAATGCTTTACTTTTTTGCTTTACGGGCATCTTACCTCATAATCATACCTCAACGGTTGCTTCACCTTTGATCCATTTTCTTCTTCTGACATTCTCGGTTATTAGCGTTTTTATTTGTGAAATCCACTGGGTGCCAAGTGAAGATGTTTTCATTGTGACTTGCTTCAGGCGTGTTAACATCAGGCTAAATTTGCCAAAATAGCTTACTAAAGACTCTTATATAACACATGCTTACAAAGCAGAGCCACAAACATCTTTTATCAAGCTCTGCGGGACATTTTTTGATGACCTGCGAAGCACTGCTAAGTTTTCCTTCCTTTTTAGAGCCTTATTCATAAAAAAAAAAAAAAAAATGGTGGTCCTTGGGGTCAAAACACTTGATACACATGGTATGTCTAAGAATAGGCAAGGTAATTGTGTTTGCGTGTGAATGCAGATTTAAAAGCAGCCTTAAAACATACAGTAACACAACTGACAGCATGTGGGAAAGTTCACCCCAAAATTATAATTGATTCATCCTTAGCCGATATGTTGTTCCACAGAAACAAATACAAAGTTTGGGGTGAACTATGCCTTTATAATTTAACGTCAAAGAAAATTAATGACGCAAATATGATGCTTATTTTGTACAACTTTTACTAAAACGGTGCAGACTGGAACCAATCAATTGAAAACAACAACGCTTGTCTGACAAGGCACTGCAGCCATGAGATGGAGTTCATAAAAATGGAGTTCATCTTTTTTTTCTCTTTCATTTTAAATTAACCACCACAACAGTATTTACAGAAATAAATGTACCCTAAATAACCGAGAACCGTGACATGCCCGTGTCACACCAGTAAAAATATAATACCAAATAAATGAAAGAAACATTTTCAATAATCAGTGTGAGGAGGATATCTAACATTGCTCAATATAGGCTGTTGAACCACATTCACCCAAACCATGTTTGCACCAGAATAAAAGTCGTTACTGACCCTGTATGAATGTCAAAAGCATTATTAATATCGTTTTAGTATTACATGTACATAAAAGAGCAAACAAAGGAGTCGCTTTCTGTTATTGAATCATGTCGTTCTCAAATTTATAAAAAGAAACAATCCTGACATATGTTAGTTGGGAAGAGTTAGATGAACAGATGATTTATTCTATTCGCTTAACAATTAAAAGCGCCAGACATTTAGAGATAAAAGCTAGCTGGAGGGTGAACAGAAACTGCCAACACACTCTGGATGTGGTAAGCTAGTAAAACTCCAGAGAGCAAGAACAGAGGAGCACTGTTCATGGAAACTGGCCTTTTATAATGGTTTAAATTTACAGTGTAAATCAGACAGGAAAAACTCCATATCTGGCAGCCAGATAAGTGAAATTTACACAGTACCAGTATTTCATGTAACCCTGCCTTGATCATATGAGGAAGGCAGCAGGCGTGTGCCCACGCAGTGTCAATGTAGACACAATAAACATCTGTTGATACTCTTGCATTTAGCCCGTATTAACATGTCTTTGATATTAGCTCAATGTACAAAGTGAAACAAGCTTAAGTCTCTTATACTATCGATTGCTGATGTGATTCATCACTAAAAGACTTTTTGCATATCTTGACACTTTCCTTGGCCAGGTTTTCAGTTAGACGCGCTCGAGCCAGCAGCCTCAAAAACAGTTGAAACCTTCTGACAGATGACCTCAACATATTGATATATATTTACAGATTACAGTGGGGTTAGTGCATGAGTTATAATATTTATATTTAAAGTTCTATTAGGTGAAAGAAATCAATCCCACACACATAAACTCTGATTCCATACAAAGAGGGAAAAGGCTTGGGTTTGAAGTGAAAACATATTATTTATACAAGATTAATACAATATCTCCGACAGTTTCATATAATTGTCCTCAAATACTATGCAATGCCTTTGATATATAATAATAATGATCTATTTTTATTTCATTCATCTCAAATGGTTCTGTTTATGTTATCAATGGAGACATACGGAATGAAAAGAGCTTTGATGGGATTTGCTTTAAACCTTTAAACGCTGTTCTTTTCTTTAAAAGACAATCGGTGAGAGTAAATACTGCTAAATGTCTTCTAACAGTTATCAGGATACCTCAAATCAACCAAACACAGCAAAAAAAATAAAAATAAAATAAAAATTGCACTCATATGAATTACTGGTGCAGAATGTTTAACATCCAATCCTGGAGATAATGCCATTTCACTATAACTCAACTGACATTCATTTTAAAAACAAAAACAAAATGAGTCACCAAGAAAAAAAAGTATTGGGCTGCAAGAGGGTTAGAAAAGGTCAGCCATGCCTCTGTCAACCAGTTTTTGCCTTTCCATGAGTTCTGTCAGCTGTGTGTCAACAGTTTTCCCGCCAAAAACAAGAGCCTCAGAGGATGCAGTTTAACCGTTGAAACCATGGCAAAAAAGGCCAATTTATCTGACAAAAACTCCAATTCCCACACTAGTTCCTGTCTTCTCAGTTACCCCTTCAAAAATCTGTTCTACTTATAAATAAACAACCTTGTTCCATCCTCGTAAATGTAATAAATAAATAAATATGTGCTTCGTGTCAATAAATTAACCCACTAAGTAAAAGCAAATAAATAAGTAACAACTTCAATGATTCAAAAGATAAAATTCACACAAGGTAGTGAGATTAAAAGTCTCAATGGGTATGAGCAGCAGCCGCTAGCGCTAATTATTTGTGATCCCCCCCACCCCATTTAACAGGTCACTATATACACGAAGAGAGATCGACTGTCTGAGCTGAGTGTTAATGTTTAAATGTATGTAAATAGATATAATCTGTTATCTTTAAAGCCAGATGATTTAGGACTTGACATAGTATCCATCTGTTTTGTTCTCAGTAAGATCGCTTTATGTTTGAACCAAGGAGGTGGAGAAAGCTAGCACTCCTTTCAACTATCATTCATCTCATTGGTTTCACTCTTATAAATAAAGGCTCTTTGTTAGCAAAATGGTGGCCAATTTTAAGAACTGGTTTAAAAACTGTTCACTGCTAGGGTTTTCGGAGAACCCAAAATGGGTCTTCAATGCCATTGTTATGAAATACGTCTAGTTGTTTAGTCAGAAGAAGTTGTTATTTGAGTCCAGACAACGTAGTTCAGGCATTTACCAGCAGGGGCACTAACCAGCCAAATCCCTGATTTAAGTGCATTATATTGCAAGTCAATTGATCTAAAAGTAAATTTTTGTATAATTTCCTGAAGAAATAAAGTAGTATGCACTATACTGTCCACATTATAATATTCAGACGTAAACATTTCACGTTGCTTTTAATTAAATTATTTACCAATCTAAGACTCCAAAATTTGTGTATTGTGCCTTTTTTTTGCATGTTTTAAGTTTGAGATTGGGTAAAGTAGGTGAACATTAAGTGTTCAGCAGATGATATGAGCAGCACATTAATCTCCTGAGAAGACAAAATGGGTATAGAGCGGGTTAAAAATAACAAAATTCCATGTACCCCAATTTTACAATGAGGTAGGCACCACAGATGAGCAGAATTGTGAGGGCGAAGAACCCTGCATCTCTGAAAATAAAAGAGGCGCTACTGATCTAAAAGCAGACATGTGGGTATTGCTTAAATGGAAAGCAAAACTACTAGATGAAGAGAGACTAATGTAATAATCTTGTGTGGGATGTATGTGATCACTTTAATTACACTGGCCTGCCTCTGCATTTGATGCAAATCACTGTAAACCGTATTCATCAGATGTGTTTAAAAGCATTTGAGCTGAAAGAGTCCCTGTACAGTAAGAAACTATGGTAGAATTGCCATGCTGTAATGGTTTGGTCTGATGACAAGTAAGCAATGCCGTGCAGTTTCAGGCTGTGAAAGGCCGTCACGTGGCTCCGCTGCATTATGGGATCACTCAAAGATCTCATCTTCATTTGAATCAGGATTAATATGGAAACCTGCACATAAGCCACTAATATCAATTGACATTAAATGGAATTAAAGCAAAACAGGCAGATGAAAAATCCAAGCTATCTTTTGTACAAACCACAGTCCCTTTGAACCACATTAAAATGTATGAGCAGTTCCGCTCCGCTCCGCTCCCCAACTCAAAATATCTGGAAATGTCTTTAAAAGAGCAATCTGCTGGGGAAAAAAAATAACCTCCTGACTTCTGATTATGCTGGTTCCTTTCAAAGGACAGTACCTCTTAATACTGTACCTTCACCGTACCTGGATTTCCATCTTATTTCAAAATGTCCCAAACCTCAAACTCACACCCCAAACGTTTCACAGTAATCCTTATCATCAAAAATAATACTTAAAAAAATAATATTTAAAAAAAAAGACAAAAAGAGAACCGCATGACAAAAAGCAAGTAGCGTTGATGTAAAACTCTACGTAGCTGTTCATCTCTAAAGTTCTCAATTAAGACACAGAGACATGGAGCGGCGGCAGCACCACTGAGGGGAGCGAGAAACCCAGGTGGCGTTGGACAAAAGCGAAGAGACCCTGTTGCAGTGGCTCTTTAACCTCCTTCTTTTGCTTAAACGTCTTGGTTCCTCTCTATCTTTCCCTGGATATGAGAGACAGCTCAAACAGGCAGCGCACACCTTTGTCACTTCAAGATAAACAGTTTTGGATGAGACATGGAAACTAGTCTCACAGTTCAGTGGAGGAACGTGTTTCATGTATGTGTGGGGGCTGATTCCTATGTGTCATGTTATTTAATGTGAGATCTAGCCACTGCGCTTTGTACATATTCCCTCTCGCTCGCCACTCCAAGCCCATTCCGACCTCTTTTCGCAGATTTCCCTTTTTATCTTCCATGTCAATGATCCCTTTTCACCCCTCCAGAAAATAAACTTCCTTTCAATTTCTCTCATTGATTCTCCCTGTGGGTCCAGGATGAAGTTGGGTTTATCATCAGTCTGTAGGAGGTTTTGGTGATGTGGTGGGTGCTGGTGCCCATGAAACTCTTTGCTCTACTCGATGACCATGCAGCGGGGCAGATGCTGGGAGTAGTATTTGAAGAGTTCGGCTGTGGCCCCAGGGCAGTTGGTCAGTTCCAGCTCTTCTAGCTCCTGCAGTTGGATCAGGCCTGATAGACCAGTGGTGGTCAGCAGAGGGCACCCTGAGACAGAGTAAATGAGAGCCGCTTGAATGCAAAACGCTAACAGCTCACTTCCTGTTTATAATGATGTGTGATAACACAATTTGCATCTCAGATGATTCCCAATCTGATTTATTGGGATTTTGCTTTGTTAAACCTATAGAAATTAAGCAAGAAATAATGCTGACAAAATACTACAATAATTTAAAACATAGTGTTGTTTTAAAATTGCTCGTTCCTATTTGGATTCCATCAAATGTCTCTAAACAACATGAATGCAGTTTAAATCATCAGTTTGATAGGAAGTGTGTTTTCATCTACAGGAATTTAATGTTCTTATGCTAAATAAATGACATCGACTAGTCAAAAGAAACTCGTCTGTGCAGCTGTTGCTGAAACAGGCATATATTTCAGATCTGCAAATGTACAATGTCCTTTAAAATTAGACTCGTATATCACATTGTGATTATGTATTCATCATCTAAAAGTCAAATTTATCTTTCTTTTACAAAGCAATATATTTTTTCTCTGGCAGCACTATCTGTTATTGAGGGATTAATGGAGCTTTTTCCATAACATGATTAAGCTCAGGTTTTCATAGAAACGATCTACTTCAAAACATAGTCTCATTTTATTATTGTGCTTCATCAGGACTTTATCAGTGCTTCCTGCAGAATCAGCACTGTACTTTCAGAGAAAGAGTGGGTTTACCTGCTAGAGAGAGAAGACGAAGACTCCTCATGCCATATAGATGCTGTAACCCAAAGTCTTGCACCTAAAAGAACACATGGGGAGTTGACATCAAATTTCATGCAGTTTTAGCAATGTGTTGTGATCGATAAAAAAAAGTTAATGGACAACTAATGTCAACTACCCATATATATATTTAATCAGGGTAAGATTATCCCATTTAGGTGACTGAGATAGCTGTACAGTCACTTACTTGACAACACCAGCGCAGGTAGAGACTTCTCAGAGTTGACATGGTAGATAAGTAACCCAGGCCAGTATCTGTGATCCGCACACATCTGAATATAGTCATACGAAGGAGAGTTATTTTATTTTAAGTCTTTAACATCTTTAGGCATACAATAATTGGTCCAGATTGTAATTAATTAAAAACTTCTTTTTTTTCAGATTAATTATTCAGTTTAGGTAGATATAAAGTTTCACTTACAAAAAAATATCATGATATTACCAGGGGAATTTCATAGTTTAACATGCATTATTTTTGTATGAAAATATCATGTTGTTAGCTATAAGATACCATCATTGAATTACAGCACTCCACTGAAATTGTTATTGAACAAGGATTTTAAATATGTAGTATTTGAAATTGTCTTGTCATTGGTGTAGCTTATTTTTCTTGTTATGCAAAAAAGTCCTTATAACGCTGGCAAATAAATTAGATGCAATAGAACGTTAAAGGACCCCACCCACACAGTTTGATTGCAAATGTGATTTTGGTAGTGTACAACAGAATCGAATAGAACTTGAATCGAATCGAATAGAATATTAATCAAATGTGAATCAAATGAATTGTTAATCAAATGTGATTTAAATCGAATGTGATCGAATCTCCGCTTTGCATAAAATATTTATTTATTATTGTTATACATTAAAACAATTATTGATTATTTTTTAATTATATTTTAATGTATTTTAATTTATATATTAATTGATTGATTGATTGATTGATTGATTTAAAAAAAATATATATTTTCACTTTCAAAAAAACAAAACAATAAAAAATAAAACACCATACACCAGCTAATATATAGCCTATATTGCTCGATCACTACTTTGGAGGAAATATTTCCTTTCCACTAATGCAAACTCAGCAGACTCACCGATCCAGAACCAGCTCCTCCAGTTTGTGTAGGTCACAGGCGACATACTCCAGTGCCATGTCAGTAATGCGGGGGCACCAGGACAGATCCAGACTTCGGAGTTTCCTCAGATTCTCTGCAACCAACTCCACGCCATCGTCCGTGATCTTCGAGCAGCCCGACAGGCTGAGGGAGGTGAGGTTGGGCAGGCTGTGCACCATGTTGACTACGCCATGGTTGGTGATCTCCCAGCAGGAGTTCAGGCGCAGTGTATGGGTGGTGTAGCCTTGCTTGGCGGTGAAGTAGGCCATGGCCGTGTCGGTCACATGATAGGCCTGTAAGCTGAGCTCCGATAGGTTGGGAAGCAGCTGAGAAATGGCGGCGATGGCGTCGTCTGCCACGTTGATGCAGTCGCTTACGCTGAGAGAGGTAAGCCGTGCATTCAAGCTGGACCACAGGCCGGCTTCTGTAAAATCATTGCAGCCGGAAAGTTCAAGATGCATCAGCCCTTGCATCTGTTCCAGCATCACCTGAAGAGCCCAGAAAGGAGGAGCAATGTTATTTTAATACATACATATACACATTTTTTTAAGACTATTCCTGGAGACTTCTCAGCAATGCACATTCTGGATGTCTCCTAGACAGGGCCAGCTCAGTAGGTCAGCTCTGTAGATTACTATAACAAACAGCTGATTAATAAATTCATCTGTGTTGAATATGGAGGAAATCTAAAATGTGCAGTGCTTGAGTGGCAGCAGAAAGCATTTGAAAGCCCAGAAAATTGCCATTTAGTTATTTCTTTGAAACCCAATTGCCAGAATGTTTCAGGGAAGTTTTATGTGATAACCAAATAAGAGCTGATACACAATTGCCTCTAATGGTTATTTTTGGGGCTTTATTCTTATAACCACCCAGACAGCAACATAGTGTCGGCCCAGATCCGGCACACATTGGGGGTCTCATTTATAAAACTGTGTGTAGGATCCTTGATAAAAGTGTAACTGCGCCCGAAAGCCAAAAATGGTATACGCCAAAAAATATTCAGACTTATACAACGTATCCTAGAACCTGGGCAAAATTTCCTTTATAAATCTCACAAATCTCCAATAAGCACGCAAGGCGTTTTGCCTATGTTTGCTAGCTTCCGGCCGTTATGTGCTTCTCCTCTTTCAAAATGAGCATGTCAGCAGCAGGGGTGGTAGGCATGGTAGCGAGGGAGAGTGACAGTCGCCCAACCAATCATTGCATTCATTCCGAATGGAAAGAGTAGCTGTGTTTATTGCAGCCCTGAGATGACTACAGACACTCGATTTGTATACTCTCCTTTTCAGAGTGGAGCGTGGGGCACAACGTAATGTGGGGCTAGTTGGAACACACTTGTTTTAAAGGGGTCATACAATGCCATTTTTGTAAGTTAATTTGATTCTTAAGGGTCTAAATGAAAAGTTTGTAATATACTTTAATTATTGTCAAACTCATACATTTGTTTATTTTTAATTATTAAAAAATGCAATTATTTTATCAAATCAAATCGCTTTAATTTTTTTATATGAAAAAGTTAATAATTGTATATTATTAAGAAAATATTTTGGTTTGACTTGTATATTTTCTGATTAGTTCAGATTTTAAGCAGTCATATGGTGATGTTAACTTACAATGTGCCCCTCACATTTAATGTAGCCTACACCACCTTTGGGGCATGTTTCACTTGCATTAGGCTATTTCGTATATCAAGAAAAACTTATAAACTGTATTAATAAAACAAAACCACATAATTATACTAGACAGGTGGGAAATTAAAGTGGGAAAATAAATACTAAACAAACCCTTTAGATTTACAAAGGGTAACTGAGAAAGTCAAAAAGCATGAGATTGAGCCCCACTCTCCTCTGTTATCATTTAGCATTGTAAAGCAGATGTCTTTTTTTTTTTACAAGCAGTTCATTCATACCTATGCAAGATCGCTGTGAAAATACAGACCGGAAGTCAAAAGACAACGAGCGCAGCTCTGAAGGAACAGCAGCTGCGCATTAGGACGTTCACAAGTAAGTTCCAGTCGCGGCCTCGCGGGTTTCACTGAGCCACAACGGCGCTGTGTCGTGAAAGTCAAGACCAGTGAGGTAACAAGAGGTTGCCTAAAGTGCAAGTGCTTAGTCTAGTCTTAAGTTATTCATCTATTTTGTTATTATTATTCAAAACTGGTCCTTTACAGTTACTGCAAAAAGTAAGCCTGGTTACCTCTTAACTAGTTGGTCCAACTCTCGTGGCTAAATTTAAGCAACTGGCCTCAAAGCTTTCTCTCGATGTTGCAGATGCCTGCAGTGTGAATTTTCGACGCTTTTTGGGAAACTACAATAACAACAAAGCTCAAGACTTGGAATTAATGAGCAAAGCGGAAAGGACGGAAATAATATTGATGCACGGATGCCTGCGATATCACCGGTGAGTGGCAGCGCACGTTTTGCTTAGGCCTTCTGTTTTTTTTTAGCCAAACCTGTATGCCACAGAATAGATTATAATTTAAGAGACATGATTTCAGTTTTTGCTAGATGTGCAGGGTGATTTATTTTGCTAATTTTTTTTTTTAAATTAATGAGCGGCAGAATTAGGGGTGTAACATATCTGTCACAATAAATCGCAATACAAATATGCAGCAACATGTATGTGGATAGTGACATCAGTATTGTGTATATAGTTCACACAAAATGAAAAGTAACGTTACTTTGGGAGTTTTTGTGTAAGTACTACATGAAACTACTATATAATGTATAATAATGCAATGGGGGAATATTTGTGGGTACCGATAATGTAAAAAAAAATGTATCTAGTCAGTGGCGTGCAGGCATATTCGTCTTAAATAATTCTGTATTTTCAGCTTCAGAAAAAAAACATGAATATTCTGGTGTCACCATTGTCCTGTCCATTGGGTTACCAACACCAAGTCCAATCCTATTTATTTATTCATCAGTATACCAAATTTAGCATTTTAATCAACAGTGTCCAGATGTATTCATGAGGGTGTCGTTGTACCCTTAGACAGAATTATTGATTATTTTATTTTTTATGAGTTTATTTTTTCTGCTGAACACAAAGGAAGATATCTTGAAGAATGATTGGAACTTTGGGACCATTGACTTCAATAGTATGGAAGTCAATGGTGCCAAACAACTATTTGGATCCAATCGTTATTCAAAATAACTTCCTTTGTGTTCAGCAGAAGAAGAAAAAAACTCATACAGGTTTGAGTCAACAACTTGAGGGTGAGTAAATGATAACAGCATTTTCATTTTTCGGTGGTGTAGCCCTTTAAAGGGTCAAAATTGTTTCCAGTGGTAATCAACAATCACAGATGCTGTCAATAGAGCTTAATATGTTTTGAACCTTGACGTTTTTGAAACACAACACAATGGAAATAACATTTATGATATAGGCTATAAATACATATTGGAACCATTTGTCCGAAAGAATCTTATTATTTATTTTTTTTTTTTCCTTTTTCTAATACCTAATTCTTAACCTAAACAGAGCTGTAAAATTGACTGTATAATAAGAAAGATCCATGGCATAGAGCAATTAAATTAAGTTTGTGGATTAAATGTAAAGATTAGCAAAATGTATAACTAGAGTATAGGGCTCAAATGATGTACACCTGAATTTTTGACTTAATTGTGATCAACAAGAAGTGTTTGCATTCAGAATGACTAATGGATTTGGGGAAAAAGAGGTAACAATGTACACATTTTCTGTGTCTGTTTTTAATCACTTAAAGTTTTCAGTGACATCTTATATTTATAATGATAAGAATAAGACAAATTGCAAGAGAAAGTGCTAATTTCAGCAAGAAAACAACTCTTGAAGGCAGGACTCTTTTATTGAGTACTTGGTTATGATCCAAGCCCTTTGCTGTGAAATCTGCCCTGCCCTGCCCTATATAAATCACATATAAGCCCGAGGTGCACAGTCCTCTCTCAGACAGATGAAGCTCCAGCTTCTATCTCTGCACATGCTGGTTTGCATATCTGAAGGGGAAAAAAAGCTTGGATGCCGTCACAAACAATTTGAGAGTTCGCCATGGCAACAAAAGCCCAGTCCTAGAATAGCAACAGCATAGAGAGTAGAGACAAGTGTGATCATTGCTGCATGTTCTTGAAAAACACACTTAAATCTAACCATGTATGTTAGGTGCTTCTTATCAAATTTCCATAAAGCTAATTAATTATTTTTAATTTTTGATATATTTTAGCTTACCTCAAGGGCATCCAAAATGTAGGTGTCTTTGTTTCCACAGTATTTTTTAATTTTGATATTTATAGGCCAAACCATTCTTGTCTGTCAGTCATATAATGGAGGTTTATGAGGTCCACCTCAAAGAAGTCCAAATTAAACATGATTTAATGACTCGTAAATGTAAGTATACATTGATGGCCTAAGACAAAAAACGAGCGGTTTGTGTGAGAAAACGAACAGTATTTATATCGTTTTTACCTCTTGTAATCACAGTCACGTCCAAGTACTAGGGCGAGGGAGTTTCTTTCTGTGCAAGTGCCGGAAAGCCTTGGGGGTGATCTCTCGCGCGTGTACGTCACTCATTGTTTACACAGAGATTTCAGAAGTGTTACCTTTCACTGTGAAGATCTAAACATATTTAGATATACAGGAAATTACAATGGAAGACTATTTCGATATATCTACAGACAACGTTGATTTTTTTTTCGCAACCGGCATCAGGAAGACGCTAGCAACATGCGGGACACTCCCGGAACTTCCGGGAGACTTAGGATGTCTGTATGGGAAACCCATAAGGGAAACCCCGATGATAGCCTACTGCTTGGATAACGTGCACAATTGATTCAAAAACTTTATTGTTCATTAGACGAAACAAAAGCATTTCATTTTCACATGCGTGTAAGCCGCGAGAAAGACGATATTGCATATATATATATATATATTTTAAATATATATAAAAGCAATATTCAAATCCTAACTTCAGCATTCGAATAGTATTGATTTTTTTAAATATTCAAATTATATTTGAATTTCGGAATTCCTTCCAACAACCCTAGTGCATGCTCTTTGAGGTGGACCCAGGGTGGACCCCATCTACAGTACCTCCATTATATGACTGACAGACAAGAACGGTTCGACCTAAAAAATATCAAAATTAAAAATACCGTGGAAACAAAGACACCTACATCTTGGATGCCTTTGAGGTAAGCTAAAACGTCTCAAAAATTAATTTCAAAGTGAACTATCCCTTTAATAGGGGTGGGTATAAATGATGGAAATCTTCAATCATAAAGTGTAATTCTTAGGATGATGAGTTAGGATAGAACTATTCATAATGAATCAATAATATAGAATTAAATACTTTACCAATTAAATGTAATTCATGTAAACAAATTATATGTACTTCATAATGCACAGAAAAAGTTGTTCTTTAATAAAATAGGAAAATTTGCTTCCACTCTGGAATGGCGTTCCCTCTTGGATGCCATCATTTGATGCCATCCTTAACCATTCACCTTCAGTGTGCTATGAGCGAGGGATGGGTAAATTCAATATTTCATTTCTAGGGTTGGGTATCGTTTGTATTTGAACGATTTTGATTCCGATTCCTTGTTTCGATTCCGGTTCCTAACGATTCTCGATTCCGATTCTTTTAAGAGGCAGGGTCAAAAAAGTTTAGCTAACCTTGCTAACCAACTTCCTTTCTGAAGGAAATACTCCTTCTGTAAAAATACTCCTTTTGTCACAAATTTTGCATTTTGCCGAGATTTCGTTATTTTTAGAAAAGTGAAGCCACACTTTGGATCGCCGACGTAAGGTACTCATGTTCGACTCGCGTGGTTATGCCAACACTTCTGGTAGACGCTTCTTCGTTGGTGTTGTTCAGCGGTTTCTTCTTCCGCTCGGCGGACTGTGAATATCGAAACTAGGAATCGAAATTTTAACTTTTGAACGATTCCGGGAAAAACGAAAAGTTAGTCTCGGTTCCAATCGATACTCGATTCTCGATACCCAACCCTATTCATTTCACTTCACTTGAATCCCTTTTACACAATACGGTGATCCCAAAATATTGCCAAATGTCCAAGCTAATCAGTGCCGAAATGTGCCCTGTGTGAATAAAAGGCAGGACCAATGCCGGAAGGGGTGTGTCGTGTTGATTACACTGAAGCTGAGATCTTTTGCCAGCTTAGTGGAACAATAGGGCCTACGCTATACGCTAGTTTATGACACATTATCAGTTTATTTTCCAGAATGTTTGTGTGACAGGGGCTTTGGAAATACATCGCAACACTGAAGTCGGCTGCAACCTCCGGTTCACAAGGACTTTAACAAAAAGAATGCCATGAAATCTAAATTTACAATTATTGTTTTTTATGGAATATTGCCGTATGATTTACATGGGTTTTTTTCTTTTCTTTTTTTCAAATTCATGTGCATTTGTATTATTTAATTAGAGTAACGTCCACTCAATCTTGCAGTGACATTCCTTCTCGTCTCTGAAGACGTTTACTGGCGCAAGGACAGGACAACCTGTCACTCACATGACATCACAGCAATAGCAAACCACAACCATCCAATCAATTCCTAATGGTTAAAAACAAGTCCAGCCCTACATTTTTGTGAAGTTTGTGAAGCCACAACTGTGGTATAAATCTCTACTCGTTGATAGATATTTGCCATTGTGCGGTATACACAAAGTTTTTTTGCATGAATATGTTACAAAATATTTCCTGGACATAATTACCTCAAGTCCTGCATCCGTGATAGTCGACCTCTTAAGACTGACAGACTTGACTCCCTTTTTTGACAGCGGATAGTTGTCGATGAACTCACAAATGTCCAAATCAGAGACCCCCACCAGACAGAAAGACTGGAAGCCTCTAAGAGCAAAAGCCTGCAGGCTAACAAACTCCTTCTCCCCATTGGGCAGGATAGTGTAGAGTTCCTTGGCATGTAGAATGGGCATCACACCTTCCCAGAACTTGGGCTGGTACAGCACTTTCCGCCACGTCTTGCACACCTGGGCTAGAGTGCACTTTTCTGCTGTGGTGAAGTACCATAAGAGTCGGTTCAGCACCTTTTCGTCCAGCACCAGTTGTCTCTCCAGCAGGGGTTTGGGGAATTGCCGGAGGGGAGGTTTGATGGCAGTCACGGGGCTCGTGTCCAGGTCGGGGCCCAACAATGAGGCGGCTGTGGGCAGGGGCTCCAGGTGATACGGCAGGCTAGGGGGAGGCAAGATGGTGGGCACAGAGGACGACTGGCACAGGCGATTCTTGGCAGCTGGTGTGCCTTTAGTGATGCTGGCCGAACCGAGGCCATTGGGCTGGGGGGGCAGCTTGACCATGCCGTTCCGTGTCATGCAGGGAGACTTGAGGTCACTGGGAGTGGACATGTTCAGCATTGGAAGCCTGTGAATAGACCAGAGTTAAGTTATTGCTCTTGGATGCAATTACATCTTGAGAGTGAAATAAAAATATATTATGATTGGAAAAAAAGAAACTATAATTTTTCACACTATGCATATGATCATGGCTCTTTAAAAATGTTCATTTTTTATGGCAGGGCTTAACAATAACAGTTTTTTTTTCCAATGACAGATTTTTACTTGCCCTGCCAACATTTTCACTGGCCCACAAATATGATGGATACATATGAAGAGTTCAGATGCAAAAGCCTCTAAATGCCATTTGAAATTTTCTTCTTTAATGATGATTTTTATCAAGCTTGTATATTTAAGTTCAGTAATTTCACTTAAATGGCAATAATAATTACCTATTAATTGTTATTTAAGTGAAATTACTGAACTTAAAGGGTTAGTTCACCCAAAAATGAAAATTAAGTCATTAATTACTCACCCCCATGCTGTACCAACCCCGTAAGACCTTTGTTCGTCTTCGGAACACAAATGAAGATATTTTTGATTAAATTTGAGAGCTGTATAACTACCACATTGGCTCCTAAAGGACTGCCTCTTGACGGCCCAGAAAGTCAATGAAGAAAATGTTTAAATATCCCAAGTGACTACCGTGGCTCAACTATATGTTTATCAAGCGACGCGAATACTTTTTGTGCGAAAAAACAAACAAAAATAACGAGTTTATTCGACTATTTCTTTTCTTCCTTGTAGGCCAGAACGAGACTTCCTTAGATTTCCACGACGCATGCGCGAGAATTGCGATCTGCTCACATCAGCTTACACCACTTCAGATCGCAATTCTCGCGCATGCGTCGTGGAAATCTAAGGAAGTCTCGTTCTGGCCTACAAGGAAGAAAAGAAATAGTCGAATAAACTCGTTATTTTTGTTTGTTTTTTCGCACAAAAAGTATTCGCGTCGCTTGATAAACATATAGTTGAGCCACGGTAGTCACTTGGGATATTTAAACATTTTCTTCATTGACTTTCTGGCCGTCAAGAGGCAGTCCTTTAGGAGCCAATGTGGTAGTTATACAGCTCTCAAATTTAATCAAAAATATCTTTATTTGTGTTCCGAAGACGAACGAAGGTCTTACGGAGTTGGTACAGCATGGGGGTGAGTAATTAATGACTTAATTTTCATTTTTGGGTGAACTAACCCTTTAAATATACAAGTTTGATAAAAATCATCATTAAAGAAGAAAATTTCAAATGGCATTTAGAGGCTTTTGCATCTGAACTCTTCATATTTTTTGGCAACATATTTTTTTGTTTCTCTTTCCCCTTTAGTTTCTTAATATTCTTTTTTTTTTAATTTCAACAAATCTTCATCTATATTAGCCTATTTGGGGTAAAAAAAAAAAAAAAAAGCACTCATGCTAAAAGTCCCATCTGAAAAGACTGTTTGAACCTTTGTCCTCATACTTTGGGTAAAAAGCCCTTTTATCTGCCTTTTTAATTTTTAATCAAAACAAACATCTTTTACCGTTTCTTTTCACACAATTTGGGCAGCTTTAGATTCAGAAGCTTGTTTAACACTGACCAAATTAGATTTGTGTTTCCAATCCGATCTTTAAGACCAACTGTCCACACTGTCATTTAGCAGGTAACCTGATCTGTTTGTTGAATATCCTATATATCTATATATCGATTGCAATTGTAAGCATGATGACATAAGTTGCTTTTTTTTTTTTTACAGACACTGTATGTTTCAGTATGGAAATGGAAAGAATGAACTAAACCTAGAAATATGACCTCTGATATACTCATCAGATGCATGACACAACATACCGTAAGAGCCAGGCGCTTTACCGTATTTTACACATCAATAGGTGTTCACTCACTTACTCGCTGACTCATTTATTATTCACAATGTAGTCATATTCACTGAATGGATAGTGAGTGAAAATCAGTAAATTATGTTTCAGCACATAAATATATTGAATTATGTCCCAAATGATGAAAAAGAATAAACTGTCAGTGAAATATCAGTTGTCCCAGTGATATCTAAACAAGGCATTAGAATTGTTCAGAGAAATGCCTTGTAGGAAGTGACTGAAGAATATACTCTGAACAAGCGGAGCTGCTTGTTCAACATCCTGGTCCACCTTAAAACCCTCCATGCAGGTGTGTGTGTGCTCTGTGTTCTAATGGTTCAAGTGTAAAATGTCAATGAGCGTTGCTTGCTTTAAGGCATTTTTCTCAATAAGACTATCTTTGCAGCTGAAATACTTACAAAGTCCCTGTAAAGTCAATTCTACAAAAAAGTTCTAAACACATTATAAATGTTACATATGTATTGCTAAAACATATTACAAAGTCTGTGAACTGTGAAGTACTGAAATGTGGAGTTAGACCGTTAAACAGTTTTTCACCGTTGCAATTTTACGGATTAATTGGGCGGGGCTAAAACAGGGCTCCGTGACGCACTGGAACCCATGAGCTGCTGGACACCCCCCTATTTGATGACGCACAGAGTCTGATCTCCCTCTCTCCACACACACTCCCCGAGCACATTCGCATTCACAATCGCGAGTGACTGTCAGTACTATTAGTTACTACAGCTGAGCCTACAGTTTTCTAGCTACCTATGCCTTCGACACGGACATGCATGGGCTACTACCTGGATGCGATCATGTACAAAACAGATCGGCATGTTCATTTAAATTCCATTAAAAACAATCACATCAAGAAGAGGTTTTTAGAGAGCCTAACGTTACCTTGATGAAGAGCTGAGGATCACCCCCAACACCCGCCTCTGTAGTGATCATTTTACACTGGATCGTTTTATAAACTTTCCTCAGAGACAACTTGGATTCACTGATAATTCACTGATAATCCGCTGTTACTGGTGAACGGGGCCGAAACGATGATCTCCCGCCTCAGCTTTCATCCTCCCGTCTCCAAAAGCTAATCAGCTAATATCACCGTCAACAGCTTTCCCGTGAGTGGGCGTGGTTTCAGCACAGCCAGCGGACACGCCCCCAGCGTTTCAGAGCAGAGAATCTGCTCATTTTTTCATGATTTTGATAGCTTATTTTATGTACTTCCCGACTTTTTTTATCATTCAAATTTGGCTGGGTGGTAAAAATTACAAATTTTTCTGTGGTGTGACAAACTCAGAACACATACTTAATGTTGACTTTACAGGGACTTTAAGCGTTCCAAAATGAGTTGGATTTACATGAAGAAAAGCAAAACATGTTGATTTTGCATGAGTGTTTTGACTGAATGACCACTAGACCTTCACAAGAGAAACACAATCTAGGTAAAAATTATGCAAATGCATAACTCATTTCACAGCTTTTGAAAACACATCTAATGTGTTTCCTTAGGAAACCAAACACTGTAGAGTAGACCACAAACCCCATTTCCTCCCACACTCAAGAGGTGGAGCTTTCTAGATTACATCTGATTAACAGAGAAGTAGTGCAAGAACTTTGATTAGAAATTGAGCAAAAGAAATGTATTAAAAGTGTGATCCACAAATAGGAGTACTTAAGCAAGGGATGGATAATTCATAGGATTTCTACTTTGTTAAACCTAGAAAACTTCATATTGAAATTTATTTAAACACATTTAAAGGTTATTAAAAAATAATGGTAATGGATTTGAATCTTTTGACTAATATGTAGTTTGTAAATACTCCAATCTTCAGTGTTGCATGATCCTTATAAATCATTATAATATGATGATGTGCTGCTTTAAGAGATTTTTTTTTTTTTTTTTTTTTTTTGTGGAAATCTTCATCTTTTTCAATATTCTCTGGGGAATAACAATGTCCGAAGAACAGCATTTATTTAAAATAGAAATATTTTGTAACTTGTGGTGTTATTGTGTTAAATAATTTAATTCCTGTTTGAGAAATAATCCAAAAATGTACATTTTGAGTTTAATCTGTTAGTAACGTTTCTCTATGATTTAAAAATAGACTTGACATAAGACCACCAGTTGATTCATTTAATTTTTTAAAGTGAAACATTTTTAATGGCCATTTTACTAAGATTAATAATAATTAAATGACAAGTTCAGTATTTTACACTTAAAGGAACACTCCGACTTTTTGGGACTTTAGCCTATTCACCTTACCCCCCAGAGTTAGATAAGTCCATACATACCTTTTTCATCTCTGTGCGTGCTATAAGTCTGTTTGACGCACCCACCGCTAGCCTAGCTAGCACAAAGACTGGATGTGAATGGTTGCAGCTTTCATACTAATCCATATGAGTGGCAAAATAACGCAAACATTTTCCTATTTACATGTTGTGATTTGTATTGTCACAGAATGTACAAATAACAAAGTCAAATGAGACACAGATATCTTTTAACCGTATAAAACCTGGGAACTATTCTCTGAAGGCGAAGCACTGCTACTTTGACGGAGTAATAACCGCATCACCTGAGACACGCCGTGGTGAGGAGCGGAGAGTTCACTCAGTGTTTGGGTAACAGAGTCAGCAATTTATAAATAGTAAAAGCGTAGTTTAGAGTCATGGGTTTTCGCTCTATTGTAAATAGCTGCGACTGTAAACAGGGGAGGTAACCATGTTTCACAGAATTCCAACTAAAAACGCTGACTGGATAAAGAAATGGCTAACTTACTCTGGATATTTATCCAAACACACCTAAATAGATTATCAAGGGACATTATGTTTGCTCGGTACATTTCAATGGTCGACTATTTGGAAAAAATGGAATTTGCCACACGGACCATAATGTGCTGAAGGATATGTGCAAAAACAATTTGTGCTATTACTTTCACCTTATTCTATCCTATAGTAATGCAATTATACTGTATATTATATACTGTTGAATACATTTGGTTCAGCTAATAAATTGCATTTAAAATATATTGATTCCTGTAATAATAATTATTTATTCATGTGATATTTATAAATCTGGGTGCGTTTTTGGTTGGAAATCAATGAAACATGGTACTGTATTACCTGGTCTCCCCTGTTTATTGTCACAGCTCATACAATAAAGCAAACACCC